TCTAGAGGCAGCATGGTCAGTGGATTGGGGTCGGGAGTCAGGACCCCTGGGTTCTATCCCCAGCTCGGGGAGAGCAGTGGGGGAGAGGTCAGCTCTTGGCTTCTATCTAGGGTTGTCAGTTTGGGTTGGATGTATTCCTGGAGGTTTCATCATATGAACTAATCTTTAATTAAAGATTAATTTTTAGTTCCTGGAAACTACAGGACAATCCTGGAGTGTTGGCAACCCTAGCTCTGGGAGGGCAGGCGGGTCTAGTGGTTACTGTGGCTGTGCTAGGATGCCTGGGTTCTATCCCTAACTCTGGGAGGGTAGTGGAGTCTAGTGGTTAGAGCCGGGGCTGCTCAGGACTGCTGGGTTCTCTCCCTAGCTCTGGGAGGAGAGTGGTATCTAGTGGTTAGAACAGGGGGGCTGGGAGTAGGGTGACCAGATGTCCCGATTTTATAGGGACAGTCCCGATTTTGGGGTCTTTTTTCTTATATAGGTTTCTATTACCCCCCACCTCCATCCTGATTTTTCACATTTGCTGTCTGGTCACCTGAGTTGGGAGCCAGGATGCCTGGGTTCTCTCCCTAGCTGTGGGAGTGCGGGGGGATCTAGTGGTTAGAGCAGGGGCCTGGGTTCTCCCCCTAGCTCAGGGAGGGCAGTGGGGTCTAGTGGTTAGTGGGGGGGGGGCTGGGAGCCGAGGATGCCTGGGTTCTCTCCCTGGCTCCGGGAGGGCAGTGGGGTCTAGTGGTTAGGGCAGGGGGCTGGGAGCCAGGACTCCTGGGTTCTCCCCCTAGCTCAGGGGGGTCTAGTGGTTAGCGTGGGGGGGGCGGGAGCCAGGACTCCTGGGTTCTCCCCCTAGCTCAGGGGGGTCTAGTGGTTAGGGCAGGGGCTGGCCGGACACGTGGGGTCTTACGCTGGTCCCGCTGCCGGGTTCTAATCCCGGTTTCACAGGGGCAGAGCCCAGCCCGGGACGCGGCGGCGCTAGGACCCAGCCAGCCCCTCGGCGGAGCCCCGTGGCCCAGCGCCGTCCCGGGCTGGCAGCGCCCGGAGCCCGAGTCCCTCCCGGCGGGGCCATGAGCCTGGAGGCGCTGCGCTACCGCCGCGGCTCCCTGCGCGTCCTGAACCAGCTGCTGCTGCCCCAGCGCAGCTGCTACGCGGAGATCGGCAGCGTGCGCCAGGGCTGGGAGGCCATCCGCGCCATGCAGGTGGGGCGGCACCCCGGGGAGACAGGGGCGCTCAGCAGCGGCGAGCTGCGGCAGGGCACGGAAGGGGGCAGTGGGTGGGTGTGGAGCAGGGGGGTACAGGGTCAGGGCTGGATATGGGGGGTGCAGGGCTGGGTATGGAGGGGTGGCGGGTGCAGGGCTGGGTATGGAGGTGTGGAGAGGGGGGTACAGGGTCAGGGCTGGATATGAGGGAGCGATGGGGGGGTGCGGGGCTGGGCACAGAGGCGTGGAGAGGGGGGCCCAGGGCTGGATATGGGCATGGAGACATGGGGTGGGGACCGGGTCTGGGCTGGATATGAGGGAGCGATGGGAGGTGCAGGGCTGGGCATAGAGGCGTGGAGAGGGGGGCCCAGGGCTGGATATGGGCATGGAGACATGGGGTGGGGACCGGGTCGGGGCTGCCCTGGGGACAGGCCTCGCTGGACTATTGCTCGGACCTGGGGTGGCAGCTCCTCCCCTGCAGGATCTCTCCACCCCACCCCCGAAAGGTTCCCACTCCACCCTGACAGTGCCCCCTGTCTCCCAGGTGCGGGGTGCCCCTGCCATTGCCATTGTGGGGTGCCTGAGCCTGGCGGTGGAGCTGCACGGTGGGGCCGGCATGGGGCAGGGCAAGGCCGGCCTGGAGACATTCATCCATGACTCCCTCCGCTACCTGGTGACTGCGCGCCCCACGGCGGTGAACATGGCGCGGGCGGCCGAGGAGCTGGGGGCTTTTGCTTCCCAGGAGGCCCAGCGTGAGGGGGCCACAGCCGAGAGCCTGCGGGAGAGGTGAGAGCCAGGCCCACGGCCCCTTCCCTTCCCTGGGGTCGAGGGAGCCGTGCCCTAACCTTCCCCCCACCCCCCAGCGTCATCCAGTGGGCAGAGGCCATGCTAGAGAAAGATCTGCGGGACAACAGGAGCATCGGGGAGCACGGGGCGCGCCACCTGCTCCAGGCGTCACCGCAGGACAAGGTGACGGTGCTGACCCACTGCAACACCGGCTCCCTGGCCACCGCCGGCTATGGCACCGCGCTGGGTATGTGGGGCTGGAGGGGGGGCAATCTGCCCACACCAGGGCGAGCCACATTGCCTGTAAAGATTGGGTTGGAGGAAGAGGGGGGGTTCCGCCAGGACTGCAAAGTAGAGTCGGGTCTTACCACTAGACCCCACCCAGAGCCAGAGAACCCAGGAGTCCTGACTTCCAGTTCCCTCTGCTTTAATCACTAGTCCACCCTCCACCCCCCTACTTAGACCCAGGGAGTAGAACCCAGGAGTCCTGACTCCCAACCTTTGTTTTGAGAACTAGACCCCATTCCCCTCCCAGGTCAGGGGAATTCACCCCAGGGGTCCTGCTACCCTGCTGTGACCACTAACCCGCGGTCTCCAACTCACTAACCTCTTGCCCTCACCGTTCACGATCCCCCTCTCGCCTTGCAGGTGTCATCCGCTCTTTGCACGCCCTGGGTTGTCTGGAGCACGTCTACTGCACGGAGACGCGGCCGTACAACCAGGGGGCGCGGCTGACGGCCTACGAGCTGGTGTACGAGCACATCCCGGCCACGCTCATTGCGGATAGCATGGTCTCTGTGGCCATGAAGGAGAAGGGCGTGTCGGGTGAGTGAACCCCACCACCTCAGGCACCAGCTGGCCTTGTTAGGAGATGTGGAGTTCAGCGGGTGAGCTCTTCAAGGCAGGGGCCATCCTGGAGTCTGGCATGATAGAGCCCTGATCTCAGTCAAGGGCGGGCACCTGCAAAGCGGCAGGATGAAACCCCGATCTCGGCCGGGGCCTGTGCAGCATCACGCACAATGGTGCCCCGGTCTCGGTCAGAGGGGAGACGTCTGGGCCGTGCCCAGTGCGATGGGGACCCATCTTGGTTGAGTCTTTGGGGTGCACGCTCACAGGAGTCAATACATCAGTAGATCCCTCTCATCCAGCATCATGACACCTACAGGAGCCAGCACCAGCTCTGCCTGGCACATGGCTGACACAGTAACACCTATTTCTCAATGTAGGGCACTTCATCCCCGGAGCTCACAGGACTTTACACAAGTCCGGTGTATTAGTAGCATTGTCCCCCGTCTATGAGGGGGGTGGACACGCTGAGGCATAGAGAGGGGCGATGGCTTCAGGAATAAAATCCCAGTGTTCTTCCAGCATGGTGTCCTTTCCCCTGGACATCCCTGCCTCTCGGAGAATCATGCTGGGTGCTCCATAGAACTGCTTCGTAGGGGCCCTGTGCAGTCCCTGGGTGGTGCGGGAGGATTGGGGTCTGCCAGCCACAAGGCTGACCAGCAGCAGGGAGGGGGCTGGAGGAGGGGACCGCGATAGGATCTCACAAATACTAAGGTGGCCATCTCAATGCTGACTCCTTGGTGGTCATGTGGCACGGGAATCGCCTCTCCAGGACTTTAAACGTTGCATTCTCTCGCCCAGCTGTCATCGTGGGAGCCGACCGGGTGGTGGCCAACGGCGACACGGCCAACAAAGTGGGCACCTACCAGCTGGCCATCGCTGCAAAGCATCATGGGATCCCCTTCTACGTGGCGGCCCCTAGCACCTCATGTGACCTGAGCTTGGCAGAAGGGGCTGAAATCGTGATTGAGGAGCGGCCAAGTCAGGAGCTGACGGACGTCAATGGAGTGAGGATCGCAGCGCCAGGTACTGCAGTGGGGGCACGTCCCCGAACAGTATTGTGGACCAGCAGGCTGTCTTGGTGCAAGAGGAGGCAGCGATATTGGGCCAAAGGGGGAATTCTTGGTTGGATATTTATGTCACGTTGCTGAGTGGCTCACGGTGTCTCTGTTTTTCTCCTGCCAAGGGATCGGTGTTTGGAACCCGGCTTTCGACGTCACGCCGCACGAGCTCATCACTGGAGGCATCATCACGGAGCTTGGTGTCTTCCGCCCTGAAGAGCTCCGAGAGGCCCTCACCCGGGCAGAGAAAGGAGAGTGAACCCCTCGGGCCAATAACTGCCCTGACTCGGGCGGCGAGGGGGTGGAGAGAGACCCGGCTTTCCCTCCGCAGAGACCGAGACTGTGGGTGGGGGTAATACACCCCGTGCCTGGCTCTGTTTTACACGCTGTTAATAAATCCCCATCGCCTTTTGCCACCACCACTTGTCCGTGTGGGCTGATGCCTGTAGCTGTCTAAATGAGCAGGGTGTCCTCTACTGGAGGGAGTCTGACGACCCCCTCCCTCCCTGTGTATCATAGCCCCTCTACTGCCCCGGGAGATTCTCCCTCTCCTCCTGGGCTGGGCTTGGTGCTTTGGGCTCAGTGGATGTTCTGAATGGCACAGGGGGAAGCGCCCACGTGGCCTGGCAGAACCTGCCCCAGCAAACGGGGGGCAGAGGGAGCTTCCCCAGGAGGCCCCGGTGCCCTCAGAGCTTTGCATGGGGGGAGGGGGGATAAGGGTATCTGGAATTGGGTGGGGTGATCTCACTGCCCCCCAGGGCCTTCTGTATCCCAGCATGCACTGGGGTTAGCGTGCCCCTCTGTATCCCGGCATGCACTGGGGTTAGTGTGCCTCTCTGTATATCCTGGCAGGGTTGCCCTGGGAGCGTGCTTTGCACCCGCCCCTCTGTATCCCGGCATGCATCGGACGTGACGTTTCTCCCCGCCGCTCTGTATCCCGGCGTGCCCTGGGGAGTGGTGTGCCCTTCTGTATCCCGGCATGCACTGGGCGTGTGGCGTGCCCCTCTGTATCCCGGCATGCACTGGGCGCGTGGTGTGCCCCTCTGTATCCCGGCATGCACCGGACGTGACGTTTCTCCCCGCCCCTCTGTATCCCGGCATGCACCGGACGTGACGTTTCTCCCCGCCTCTCTGTATCCCGGCGTGCACCGGACGTGACGTTTTCCCGCCCCGCTCTATCCCGGCGTGCACTGGGGCTCTGCCGGATGTGGAGGCCGCCTCATGGCTCAGGGGAAGCAGAAGTTCCAGGCCCAGAAGCCGGGCGGGGGGAAGAAGGCGGCGGCCCCCCAGGGGGTCCGGGGACCCCGCAAGGGAGGTGAGCGGCCTGGGGGCGGGGCCCGGCCCAGCTGACCCCGGGCAGGGCCCCGAGACCACCGGGCATGGGCGGGGGGGGGTTACGGGGCCCCGGCTCCCGGGCGCGGGGGGGGGGAGGTTTGGCGGGGGCTCCCCGGGGCGCGGC